TGTCGACAGAGTCGGCGGATTCCTGCCCTGTCGAGAGGGAAGCAGCCTGCTCATCCCGGAAGGCACTCCTGTGCTCCTTCTCCCTTGAGAATGCCTGCCGTGTGAACACGCTCCCCGTGGACAATCAGATTGTCTCCGTCCTTACATTGTGTAAGGACGGAGATCATCAGGACAAAGATAATGCAAGGACTGAGGTTATCTCTGGTTAATCAGGACAATAATATATGTATGAACACGCCCCTGTGGGCAATAAGATAATGTAAGGACGGAGATGATCTCCGTCCTTACATTATCTTGCGGCGTCTCCCGCCATTCGGCCGTGGATCGGTGACGAACACTTGGCGTCCGCATAGCTTCTGCATCCGCAGGGTCATACGGTCCTGGCTGCTGTGTCGACGGGGCGGTATCGAACGCCAGCGCGAGCTCAGAGCACCACGAAGTTATTGCACGAAGAACACGGCTCTCTTCTTCGGGTGAGCCGTCTTCGTGCACGTATTACTTGCTTTGTGGATGTCTCGCCCCTGGGCACCACAACAGCTCCAGATGAAGATTGGCAGCCTGGGAGGAGATCTGACTAGTACGTCGCTTCCACTTCATAGCGACGGCTCAGACGTTCACATTGCGGCAGGAGCACTAAGCATGAGGCAGTTTTAGAATGAAAGATAGACGGGTGGTACATGGTTAAGACTTCGATGTGCCAGCAACTGTCACTGTCTCTGAGGGGGTCCACCAAACCAGCTCAACTTTTGTTGTTAGTGGCGTGCCTCGTGAGACATGTGACTGCCTTGCGTGCCGAATCGACTGCTTCTCCTGCAGCCTAGTCGGTCGCGGCTGGCTCGTGCTGCCAACCAGTGCCTTGCGCGAGGTCGGTTCGCATTCGATGACAGACTCGGGTTTGAAGCAGGCGCGTTCACCAGACGTGCTTTTTAAGACTAGCCTGGCGAAGGACCCAGCCCTGTGCAGCAGCGAGTAGCGCAGGGCGTGGCTCTCTCCTCATAGGTAGCTCCCCGCGAAAGGGACGGAGCTCGGGGCAGCACGGAACCGGGGCCGCGGACCAGGCGTGCAGAGGTGAGCTGAGCTTCTTACGGTGCGCGATCGATGTGAGGGGTGCGCCGACATGGGTTCGGGGGCTGCACTCATGTGCTCGCACTGAGGCCCAAGCTGTAGCTTTGTGGAGGACGATCAATGGAGAGGAGGCATGTTGCCAAAACATATCCCGATATCTGAACCATGTGTTAAACATGTTAAACGCATGTTCAGAACATCTTTCCGACGTTTGAAACACATGTAACATTCAACGATAGGACTGTTAGGGTGTCCATTGTCGTGGCATCCACAGCTGTAGCTCCCGACGGGGTCACGATCCTCGTGAGGGGTGCGCCAAAGTGTTCTGCGCCGCCCCAGGGCCAACCTTCGGGTGTCTTTGGGCCCCTCTTGGGGCTGTCGTTGGCATGGCAGTCTTGGTGATCTCGGGACCCTCTTGGGATCTTCTCGGGCGCCTTTTGGGCACCCGTGGTCCCCGCCCGGCCTCGCCCCGCCCGACACTTCGTCGCCCCCGCGCGGCCTCGCCCCGCCCGCACGCGCGGCGCGGACCGAAGCCGCAGCTGGTTTCCCGGTTGGGGTCGCTTCGCTCTAACCGCTCCCCGCGCCCGAATCTCGGCTGTGGTTAGGTTTTTGTCTGATCGTTTACCGGAATTGCATGCAGAATTGCACCTTGGTTTGTATATGTTGACCTGTCCTTTCGTAGATACATCTATGTATGTACCGACCTACGTGCGCATCTGCATGCACAGCCGTGCAATCCGAATCCTTGCTTCTCTCCGCGGACGACCCGCATGCACCGTACCACGTCGGCGTCTCCCGACGCGTCGTCGGGCTTCGACCCGTGAGCGGTACGGTGCGTCGTTTCTCCGGCCCTCGGGGCCGAAGCAGGACGCACCGTTACCGCACTGGAGCGGGGCCCGACGGGAGCCCGAGCATGGTGCGGTGCTCGAGCGCTGTCCTCGTAGAGTCCTCGTACAGTTGGGGCGTTGACCTCAGGAACGATCAATCAGGCACGAGGCCCCCAAGTAAAGTTAAACTTCGATCTCCCGTCGAAAACCGAAGGACAAGCCCAGGCGCACTGCCAAACAACTAGGGAGCACGGAGCCCCTCCCAAACGAACAGAGATTCCTTCTTCAGCGCCCCGGCCGCACTGCTTCTCCTTGCCGTGCCCTAGCCTGGCCACTCTGCTCCGCCCCGCCGTGCCCCCCCCCTCCTCCTCCTCTCCTCCTCCCTCCTCCTCCTCCTCCTCCTCCTCCTCCTCCTCCTCCTCCTCCTCCTCCTCCTCCTCCTCCTTTTTTCCTCCTCCTCCTCTCCTCTCCTCCTCCTCCTCCTCCTCCTCCTCCTCCTCCTCCTCCTCCCTCTCTCTCGTCCCTCCTCCTCCCCCCGGCGGAGGCTTCTCGCGCGCGCCGAGCAGCTCGGGGTCCCGCTGCCGCTCGGGCGCGGCGCTGGCCCGTAGCGTTTTTGCGGCAAGGCGGCCGCCGCGGGGCCGCCCGTGAGCGGCCCCGTTGGGAGGCAGCCCTCCGGAGGCAGCCCTCGGAGGGCGCAGTCAGTCCTCCGGAGGGTGCCCTTTGTGCGAGCGAACTTTTGTTGGCGGTCCTTTAGAGGCTGCCCTGGGGATCAGGAGGAGGAGGAGGAGGAGGAGTAGGAGGAGGAGGAGGAGGAGGAGGAGGAGGAGGAGGGAGGCGAAGGAGGAGGAGGAGGAGGAGGAGGAGGAGGAGGAGGACGAGGGGGAGGGGGAGGAGGAAGGGGAGGAGGACCAGTGAGAACCCCAGGCGCATCAGCGATGTTGCAACAAACCCTCCCTCCAAGTTCCCTCTTGATAGGTCCCTACAAAGATGTAGCATCATTGCGGGAAGCGGCTCATTAGAAGACAACATAAGACAACCGTCTGAGAATCCACAATCGTGCAACAAAAACTCTTCTTGGGATGCCAACGCCGCGGATCGACTGACTCTTGCGTCTGGACTGTCATAAATCGTGCCAGAACGCAATCTCTGAGGCTTCAACACCGCGAATAGACATGACTGGTGCGTCCTGACAATCCGAAATCGTCCCAGAACACCGTTCCTAAGACTTCAACCATACAAGTCCTTACAGCTGCTGCAATACGTTGAGACGAATGCGTGCGGCGTTGAGGCGAGAGCAACATGCTGAAAAGGAACCGTGCCCAATACTTGAAACAATTGCGAACTGGTTAGACAGCCGAGCGCGGCGCTCAGGCGAGAGCAACATTTTGAAAACGATTCGCCCTCCATCAGTGAGACTGTTGTAAGCTTTGAAGGCGAGTGTGCGCGGCGCTGAGGCGAAAGCCACATTTTCAAAACGACCCGCCGTCCATCCGTGAAATTTGAAATGGATGTACGCGGTTAAGACAAATGCGCGCAGCGCTAAGGCGAGAGTTACTGTTTGAAAGGACCCGCCCTTCATCCACGAAACTGCCGCAAACTTTACGACGAATGGCTGCGGCGCTGAGGCGAGAGCAACGTTTTGAAAACGACCCGCCTTCCATCCGTGAAGCTGTTGCAAATTTCAAGCTTCGGGATCGTAAATGGTGAGGATGTCTCAGGCGAAACGCCCGGCCCGCACTACCGACACGTCTGGGGAGTCGACAGGGAGGAAATGCTTATAAGGAGAATCGGTGGAGGAGGAGGAGGAGGAGGAGGAGGAGCAGCAGCAGCAGCAGAAGGAGAATAGGGGGAGGGAGGAGGAGGAGGAGGAGGAGGAGGAGGAGGAGGAGGAGGAGGAGGGTGAGGAGGAGGAGGAGGATGAGGAGGAGGACAACGAGCATGATGATGCTGGTGATGATGATGATGATGATGATGCTGATGATGATGATGATGATGATGATGATGATGATGATGATGATGATGATGATGATGATGATGATGATGATGATGATGATGATGATGATGATGGTGATGATGGTGATGATGATGATGATGGTGATGGTGATGGTGATGGTGATGGTGATGGTGATGGTGATGGTGATGGTGATGTTGATGGTGGTGGTGATGGTGGTGGTGGTGATGATGATGATGATGATGATGATGATGATGATGATGATGATGATGATGATGGTGATGGTGATGGTGATGGTGGTGGTGGTGATGATGAGGAGGAGGAGGAGGAGGAGGAGGAGGCAGAGGACGAGAAGGAGGAGGAGGAGGAGGAGGAGGAGGAGGCAAAGGCACTCAGGGATGCAGGGTGGGAAGGGGGGAGGAGAAGACAAGGGAAGATTAGGGCGAGGCGCAGGCGGAGGAGGAGGAGGACGAGGACGAGGATGAGGAGGAGAAGAAGGAGGAGGCCGGCGACGCTGAGCAGAATGGTGACGACGACGGGGAGGAGGCTGAGGATGATGAGGAGGAGGGGCATGAGCAGGAGGGGGCGTGTTGGTCCTGGGAGGCCGCACGAGAAGTTAATCGAGACTAGATGTAGTTGAGTGCATTTTGGCGCCGACATTTGCTGTTCTGTTTTCTTCAGCCGCTTCCTGGGGCTTCTTGTGGCCTCGCGGCTTCTTTCGGGCGAGTTCGTGAGCCAACTGGGCCCCTCTTGCGGCATCTTTTGAACAACGTGGAGGCTCCAGGGAGCTGGTGGCGCGGTGTTGAGGTGGGCCTTCTCTGGTGCAGTCTCGATTCGGGGTCCGAGGTCCTTCGAAGTCACGCCCAGGGTGACAATATTTATTTCTCTTGGGACACTATAAAAACCACCGCGTGACCTTTCAGGCCACCTCGGGGCCACTACGGGAGCTTCCTTTACACTTGTCCCTCCCGTTGTCTAAGAGGCCCGGGGGCTGCGGCCTTCTCCAGCCCCAGTCGCTCGGTTTCGTTGAAGGGGTCCATCGGTGTAGCCTGGTTTCCTCAGGTTCTTCTGGTGGCCGTGCAGCGTCCTCGGGGGTGTCCACGCGGAGTCCCAAGTTTCGTCGGGTTCCCTTGTTGTTCCCCATCTATGTCAGACCATGTCATGGCAATGGTATATGTTTGCTATGCTGTGCGCCGCTGAACAGTTTATGCTTGGTTGCAAACGTGAGCATTGCCTTTCCGTTGTCTTCACATGGTTTGTTGTTGCACTGCTTCGCTTTGCTTTGCTTTGAACATCACGTGGCTTACATGTGTATCCGCAAGGGCTTCGCCCCATGCCGCCGGCCCCCTGTCTCGGATAATGGGAGATGCAAAAGCTAAGTCATGAGGTCTGGGCGCCGCCGTGGAGCAGTGTCGGGACCTGTTTGTTTTTTCGACTCTGACCCTACGGATCTGCGTGAGGGGTGCCGCCGAATTTCAGACATGTAGCACATCCCCTGTGATTGTGGACCCTGACCCTATGGATCTGCCTAAAGGGTTGCCGCCGCATCTCAGAAATATAGCAAATCCCTTGTGTTTTTAAACCCTGACCCCGCCGATCTGCGTGAGGGGTGACACCGAATGTTAGAAATGTTGCAAATCCCTGATGTTTTTGGACCCTGACCCCGCCGATCTGTGTGAGGGGTGTCACCGAATTTTAGAGATGTGGCAAATCCCATGTGTTTTTGGACCCTGACCCCGCCGATCTGCGTGAGGGGTGCCACCGGATTTCAGACATGTAGCAAATCCCATGTGTTTTTGGACTCTGACCCCGCCGATCTGCGTGAGGGGCGCCACCGGATTTCAGAAATGTGGCAAATCCTATGTGTTTTTGCACCCTGACCCCGCCGATCTGCGTGAGGGGCGCCACCGGATTTCAGAAATGTGGCAAATCCTACGTGTTTTTGGACTCTGACCCCGCCGACCTGCGTGAGGGGTATCACCGAATGTTAGAAATGTAGCAAATCACATGCGTTTTTGGACCCTGACCCCGCCGATCTGCGTGAGGGGTGCTACCGAATTTTAGAGATGTGGCAAATCCCATGTGTTTTTGGACCCTGACCCCGCCGATCTGCGTGAGGGGTGCCACCGAATGTTAGAAATGTTGCGAATCCCGTGTGTTTTTGGACCCTGACCCCGCCGATCTGCGTGAGGGGTGCCACCGGATTTCAGAAATGCTGCAAATCCCTGATGTTTTTGGACCCCGACCCTGCCGATCTGCGTGAAGGGTGTCACCGAATTTTAGAAATGTGGCAAATCCCATGTGTTTTTGGACCCTGACCCCGCCGATCTGCGTGAGGGGTGCCACCGAATGTAAGAAATGTTGAAATCCCATATGGTTTGGAACCCTGACCTCGCCGATCTGCGTGAGGGAGGCCACCGAATGTCAGAAATGTGGCAAATCCTATGTGTTCTTGGACCCTGACCTCGCCGATCTGCGTGAGGGGTATCACCGAATGTTAGAGATGTGGCAAATACCATGTGTTTTTGGACCCTGACCCCGCCGACCTGCGTGAGAGTTGCCACTGGATGTCAGAAATGTTGCGAATCCCGTGTGTTTTTGGACACCGACCCCGCCGATTTGCGTGATGGGGTGCCACCGGATTTCAGACATGTGGCAAATCCCATGTGTTTTTGTACCCTGACCCCACCGATCTGCATGAGGGGTGCCACCTGATTTCAGACATGTGGCAAGTCACATTTGTTTTTGGACCCTGACCCCGCCGATCTGCGTGAGGGGTGCCACTGGATTTTAGAAATGTGGCAAATCCCATGTGTTTTTGGATCCTGGCCCTGCCGATCTGCGTAGGGAGTGCCACCGAATGTCAGAAATGCAGCAAATCACCTGTGTTTTTGGACCCTGACCCCGCCGATCTGCGTGAGGGGTGCCACCGAATGTCAGACATGTAGCAAATCACATGTGTTTTTGGATCCTGACCCCGCCGATCTGGGTGAGGGGTGCCACCGGATTTCAGAAATGTGGCAAACCCCATGTATTTTTGGACCCTGATCCCGCCGATCTGCGTGAGGGGTGCCACCGAATGTTAGAAATGTGGCAAATCCCATGTGTTTTTGGCCTCTGACCCCGCCGATCTGCGTGAGGGGTATTTTTTAAAATCCACCCCGGCAATTCAGAGCACACGCTCAGGGCGTGGTACAAATGCCCATTTTGGGCCTCCCATCAACAAGGAACAGTAAGCAGCAAGAAGCAGAACTATAACAGTGGAAACTGGAAGCTGCAACTGGTACAGGAAGCTGCGAACCTTCGCCCTACAGCCTGGTGGCCCCACAAGGGGGCCGGCGGATTTGCATTGTACTTGCACGTGTTCGATTACGCTTGCTTCGCATCGTGTTGCATTGCGTTGAAGTGCGTTGCTTTGCATATCTCTGCAGTGTTTTTTTGCTTGTTCGGGCAAACGTCGCTGATTTTTTGCGCGAGTTGGCACGGCCGACTGACTGACTGACTGACCGACTTACCGACTGAGTCACTGATTGGCCGAACCAGTTGGCAGGCAGTTTTGTACTCGGCCGTCGAGTGCGCCACCTCTTTGCGCATCCGTTCGCAGGCAGTTCGGCCTACGAAGGCGCAGCCCGGGCATGTTCTGTTTTGGGCCAGTGC